ACTGGAGATCTACACCGCCTCCCATACAACGCCTCATACGGAGCTATCTGAATGCTCGACTGATAACTGTTATTGTAGGCAAACTCTGCAAGCGGCAAAAACTCATCCCAAGAAACTCCAAAATCAATAACACAGGCACGCAACATGTCCTCCAATATCTGAATAGTACGCTCGGACTGCCCGTCCGTCTGAGGATGAAATGTTGTGCTCAACTCCACCTGCGTACCCAACTCTCGCTGAAAAGTCCTCCAAAACTGAGAAGTAAACTGAGTACCTCTATCTGAGATAATAGACACTGGAACACCATGCAATCGAACAATCTCCCGGATAAAGATCCCCGGCAGCCGCTCCGAAGAATAGGTAGTACACACCGGAATGAAGTGCACGGACTTGGTCAGCCGATCCACAATCACCCAAATCGAATCGAACTTCTTCAAAGTCCGAGGAAGACCACTCACAAAATCCATAGTGACTCTCTCCCACTTCCACTCGGGAATAATCATCCGCTGAAGTAAGCCACCCGGTCTTTGATGCTCATATTTCACCTGCTGACAGTTGAGACACCGAGCCACAAATCCCACAATATCTTTCTTCATTCTTCTCCACCAATAGTGCTGCCTCAAATCCTGATACATCTTCGCGGCACCCGGATGAATAGAATACCGCGAGCTATGGGCCTCCTCCAGAATCAACTCCCTAAGCCCATCCACATTGGGCACACAGATCCGACCCTGCATCCTCAACACACCATCATCACCGATGGTCACATCTCTGGCATCATCATGCTGAACTCTGTCCTTAAGGACAAGCAGATTCGGATCATCATACTGGCGCTCTCTGATACAATCATATAAGGAGGACCGAGAAACCACACAAGCCAATACTCTGCTGGGCTCCGGAATATCTAATCTCACAAACCGATTAGCCAAAGCCTGAACATCAACTGCAAGGGGCCTCTCCCCAACTGGAATGTACGCCAAACTCCCCATACTCACTGCCTTTCGGCTCAAAGCATCGGCCACTACATTGGCCTTTCCCGGATGATACAATATGGTGATGTCATAATCCTTAAGCAACTCCAACCATCTACGCTGCCTCAAATTAAGATCCTTTTGCTTGAACAAATGCTGAAGACTGCGATGATCAGTGAATACCTCGCAAGATACGCCATACAAGTAATGCTTCCAAATCTTCAATGCATGAACTATGGCAGCCAACTCCAAATCAAGAACAGGGTAGTTCTTCTCATGGGGCTTCAACTGACGAGAAGCAAAAGCAATCACTCTACCCTCCTGCATCAATACACAACCAATCCCAACTCTCGAAGCATCACTATACACTGTATAAGAACCTGAAGCTGATGGCAAAACCAATACTGGAGCTGTGGTCAAAGCTGTCTTGAGCTTCTGAAAGCTCTCCTCGCACTCGTCCGACCATACAAATGAAGCACCCTTCTGAGTCAACTTGGTCAAGGGCGATGCTATAGAGGAAAATCTCTGAACAAACCGGCAATGATAACCCGCCAAACCAAGGAAACTACGAATCTCTGTGGCTGAGGACGGCCTAGGCCAACTCTGAACCGCCTCTATCTTCTTCGGATCAACCTGAATACCCTCACTGGACACCACGTGTCCCAAGAAAGCCACTGAACCGAGCCAGAACATTCCCAAACCCGATCGTGATGGCGCCTCTCGTGAAGACAAGGCCAACCAGAACAAACGAAACACCTCTTTTAAACAATTATTTAACATAAGCAAATCTAAAACATGTTTAAGATAGTCATAATTGCGGAAACAGTGATAATAACAAGGAAAACCATCCCGACACAGCCCAAATCGGGGTGTCACAAGTCATGAGCTACTACAGAATCTGCTATAAGTCTATAAAGTATGAAGTCCGATACAATAGTTTGAAGAAAACATAAATGATAGAGGATAGGGGAGACACGGGGCTGCGGACGTCAACAGCTACCTCGTAACTCAAAATCACTGCCTGGTCTGGAAGGATCAGCGCTCGGGAGCGGACTCTGCTATGCCTGAATCTGCACACGCGGTGCAGGGAGTAATGTGAGTACTCCGACCCAGTGAGTAATAATTATAAATAATGACTGAAAGCATGAAAAGACATAAAGGCACAAAGCAATTCTATATCAGGCAGTAAATCACTTAAAACAGTAAAACCGTAAAGAATCAAATGAAATCTCTTTTAAGAAAACAGGTAGATCAGGTAAAACAACAGGTAAATAGCAAGTAGAAATCTGCCCTTCGGGCTCAGTATCAATCGCTCATAACAGTATCAGCCCCTCGGGCTCAGTATCAGTCACCCAGCATAGTATCAGCCCCTCAGGCTCACTCTCAGTCACTCAGCATAGTATCAGCCCCTCGGGCTCACTCTCAGTCACTCAGCATAGTAACAGCCCCTCGGGCTCACTCTCAGATCATATGGGTACCCGCGCTCACTGTGGGTGTGCAGACTCCGGAGGGGCCCCTTACGGCCCAAGCGCTATATCAAGCCACCTCGTAGCATCATCACTCGGCACTCGGCCTCACATCACTCGGCCTCCCATCACTCAAGCCACCTCGTGGCGTGTAAAGTATCTCATATCACTCAGCATATCCTCACATATGGCCCTCGGCCTCACTTAGTCCAGAGATCATCACAAGCCCCTCGGGCATCAGTAAAATAGTAGTGCTCAGCCCAAACAACATTGGAAATATCATTTAAGTCTAAAAATTCAAGTAAAAGTGGTTGAGTTTGTAAAGCAGTATTAATCAATAGGATTGAGTTCAAGTAATATGTCAAAATAGTGAGGAAACAGTGACAAAAGTCCACGAAGGATTCAAGTAGTCGGCATGAAGCCCAAATATGGCAATAAGCCTAAATCATGATGATAACGAATAAGTCTCAGTCAAATACACTGTACAAACATTAATCGGGACGGACCAAGTCACAATCCCCAATAGTGAACAACCCCGCGCTCGTCATTAAGCGCATGTTTAACCTTAATATAGCACTACGTTGTGCAATCCGGGGTTTCAAACCCTCAGGACATCATTTACAATCACTACTCACCTCAAGCCGGCAAAAACTCTAGCTCGCTATGCCCTTGCCTCTCAAATCGGCCTCCTCGCGCGTCGAATCTGACCAAAACCACAACGAATACGTCACAATAGGCTAAGGGAACAAAACCCAATCGAAAACATCTCTGAATGACCTGAAATTTTACACGCACATCCCAAATCACCTAACGAAGCTACTGCAACTCTCGGAATTCCATTCCGACCCTCAGATCAAAATCTCACCTACCAACCGGAAATCGCCAAAATACTAATTTCGCCACAACAAGCTAATTTCTACACCGGACCTCCAAAACCACTTTTGATCACACTCCTAAGTCACAATTCATCTCCCAAAGCTAACCGAATCACTGGAAATCACATCCGAGGCCTCTAACACACAATTCAACATCTGGTTGACTTTTCCAAACCTAACCTTCCTTAAAGAGACTAAGTGTCTCATTTCCTACCAAAACCAGTCCAACTCAACTTGACTACACATGACACGGATAACGAAGCATCACAATACACTGTATAAGAACCTGAAGTTGATGGCAAAACCAATACTGGAGCTGTGGTCAAAGCTGTCTTGAGCTTCTGAAAGCTCTCCTCGCACTCGTTAGATTTGCTTATGTTTAATAATTGTTTAAAAGAGGTGTTTCGTTTGTTCTGGCTGGCCTTGTCTTCACGAAAGGCGCCATCACGATCGATTTCGGGAATTGGGTGGTGACAACACTGTATTTATAAATTTACCATTCATAGCTATATTTGAATTTTATAGCAAAACAATGAAACAAGAGATTAATTATTTTGAAGTGAAACAAGAGAGCAATAAGTACTCGTAGCTAAGTTGGATAGAGCGCATGCTTAGTAAGCAAAGGTTTGAGTTCAACTTGCAACCAGAGCATTTTATTGAGTTCAACTTGCAACCAGAGCATTTTATTGAGTTCAACTTGTAAAAAGAGCATTTTATTTTTTTTGTATTTCTGCATTTCGCCTTGGTTGAGTTCGTTGCGCAAAAGAATATAGTCGATACATATTGTATCCTTTGTATATACCCCTGTATATAGTCGATACAAGTTGTATCATTTGCATATACCCTTGTATGTTGTCATTGTTACAGTTGATACGTGTTGTACTCGTTGCGCAAATGAATACAAATACGCGATCGAATACAGTTGATACATGTTGTATTCATTACGCGAACGAATACAGTTGGGACAGGTAGTGTTTTAAAAGGCGTTTTTGGGGCGAGCATTGGGAAAGGTGCACCAAAAATGCCCCTAGGCGATGGTGTGGGGCGAAAGTCTCAAGAAGCGTATGCCCAACAATTCGGGGCGTACTCCCGAGCATTTGAGGTGCGTTTTTATTGTGAGGTGTAAACCCCAAAGACTTTTTCAAATAAAATAAAATTTGCTGAATAAGTCCTTCATATCATACCCAAATTCTCAAAAGTTAGTTTGTCATTACTTGAAAGTTTTAAAAGGAAAAGAAATATTAAATTTAAAAGTCAAGACCTTTTTTTTATTGATAGAAGCCCTAATTTATGATTTTTTCTAATTATTTATCTTGTCCGCTAGTCTGCTACTTTCTCCCAAAAGCAACAATACTTAATTTTTTAATTTTTTTTTTTGTTGCAAATATAAAGAGAACTCCATTCTCATTCATAGCCGCAAGTTCAAGTTCAAATTGCAGGTTAATCATTATTTTTGTTCCTCTATGTAGAAAACTTTATTCTTTTCAACTCAAGTTTGCATGGAAGGTTACGTCTCGCTGAGGCATATGTAAAACGCTTCGCCTTTTGCCCACGCCTTTTAAAACAGTGGACACAAGTTGTAGTTGATACAAGCTGGTAACAATAGAATAATTGTTACTAATTATAATTAGGCAAACTACGGTGTTTTATCAAAATTCCACTTTTTGAAAACCATTTCAAAACGCAAATTATTGACTTTGGACTGATTTTCAAAGATGGAGCAGCCCAAGTTCATGGTTGTGGTTGGTTTTGATTTCTAAACAACAGTACACACAATTATACATATAGTACTAGTATATCTTTGGGGGCGGGCAAAAATTGGAGATGAAGACATTCCAGAGTTTGGAATTCATGAATTGCAAGCTGTACAACGGTTTAACGTTTTGCAACACTTGGCAACGGGAAAGCTCTGCATGCAAGAAGAACACGAACAAGCCAAAAATGGAGAAACACGAAAAACGTGAACTAAAGCAACATAAAGCTGTTGTTTTAATTTTGTTACTGCTGTTGAGCAAATCGAAAACGAGAAGAAGCAGACTGCAGTTACTTAGCGTTCTCGAAAATGGAGAGACCGACAAGCAGCTCGGCGAAGGTGCAGAACGCCGGCACGGCGTCGATGCTGGTGGCGACGGTGGCCGATTTGATGTCTCTGTGTATGCAGACTGGTCACCTAAATAATCTTTCAGTGTTCAGCGACCTCTGCCTCTCTTTAGCCAAGTACGCATACATTCTTCTCTATTTCTGCTTACTAATTAACTCATTTACTAACTGTGTGTACAGAGTCAGATCTAGAATTTAAACGCAAAATTTGCACCTCTACACAAACATACATACTTTTTTCATCAAATCAGCACAACCTGTTTTTGGAAACTTGAAGTCGAATTTTTCAGCTTCAACCGTTTGACAAAAATTTGAACTATGGATTGCGGCCAAGCTTTGAGTTGTTTGGCATTGTTTGAAATGCGTGCTCTGTTTACTGCTGGACTAATTCTCAAAACGTGGAGTCATAAATTAGGTAGTTCATGTTGGAAGCTTATAAAATCGTTGTGAAGATCAGGTTATGTGCAATTGCTGATATACTTATTCGTATATGTTTAACGTTATGCCAATGAAGCTAATATGTTTGTGGGTTGACCTAATAAATCAGCTGAATCAGTACTGATTGTGCTACATTTTTAATTATTGAATTGTCAATGTTTTAGTGGAATTATCTATGTGAATGCATCAAAATGAAAAACATAGGTAAATTAAGGTGCAAACAGTGAAACGCTAGGGATTAATTTGAGGCAAGTTTAGTTTTGTCAATATCCTCTAACAGCATAGCCTTATGCGACCGCACAACTGGAATTTGCTGCTGTAGCAATCAGTTTTTCAACACTTCTATTACTTCAACAGTGATAGGAAATTACAACTCAACTCAAACTATTCAAGGAATTAGAGACACTAAACTGAAATACACAGAATAGAGAAGAAGGGATGAGAAGCTTAGACTAAGAATGAGGATGAGATGATATAGACATTCGAGAAGGAAGATGAGGAGAAGCAGACATTTCATTCAACAACACGCATGCCCCGTATCTTCCCCTGGATCCCAAATATAACGTACTAGTATTCTGTTTGGTTGTTCAATCATTGGGCCTTTAGCTCTTCGCCCAATAGTCCCAATTGGGTCAGCCTCGTCCTCATTTATGGCCCATAATCCCTTACCAAGTAAGGTTGGTTCACAACAATACTCTCGTCCTCGAAAAGAACCTTGTCCTCAAGGTTCGAGTCAAGAGAGGTGTTAGTAGCGCGCACCCTGCCAATTGTCTCTACACAAAGGTATCCTGGGGAATATAAGGAGAAGATGTGATCTATGTCAACGTGACATGAGATGGTGGCCACTATAACATGGACAACCTTTGGCACAATACCACCATAAATCATAAGGCAACAAGCTACAATCTTGGCATTTAGGGGGTCACACTTGACTTGAGCTTCCTGGACAATTCTCTCCAAAGTAAGAGCGTTGGTAACCCCAACAAGTAGGTTGGTTATGGAGTTCTTGAACAGTGCTCTTTGTGCACAAAAGATCACAATACTTTCCATCATCAGCAAATACCAATTGAAGGACAAGAAACTATTTTGCATTGCCTTTGAAAAGATCTGTGGTTCATAGCATTTCCCAAACATAACATTGTTATAAGTAGTTCCTGATAGAATTAGAGGAACTTGGTGTATATCTAACAGATATCTACTCCAAATAGTAGGTGCATGTATAAATCTCATTTTCCAAAAATTCAAACTCAATAAGGATGAGCCAGTTAACTCATGCTCACTAATTATTGCACAACGTAGTTCTTTTGGAGAAATAAATTGGACAAAATCCATAATCACTCCCTTTTGCCTCTGATAAGTGTTCGTCCATACACAGAATGTAGCATGAATGGAAATAATCTCATCCTCATGTACAGTCTTAGAAAATAGCATCTCGGCACTGTCCAATTGAGCATTGTTGGTATACATTTTAACTAGGGCAGTAGCTACAAGTTCATTAACGCAAATCACCAGCTTGGATGCCATATCAGAGTATAACATACTAAGCTCAAGAGCCTTTCCACTCTGTAAATGCCTAAACTGATCAATTATGTATTGCTCTTCAATATGTGTAGGAGCACCATCAAAAGAACACAGGAATGAAAGCGCTATAGACTCACTCAGTAGCTTGTATGATGCATGAGAATTTCTAAAATTACAACTGCATTCAACACCCCTTGCAACTCCACCTGCATGCTCCCACGCATGCAAATTTGCAAATAAATAGCTCCTTCTTTTTCTAGCTTCTTCAAAAAGTTTATGTGCCTCCATGTTCTCTGTAGAACCCGCTAGAGCCCTGAACTTGGAACTAATTCCCGGATCCCATACACAATGATCCCTCGCAGTTATGGGAATGGTGACAATAAAGAAATTAGCACCACAATAAAATGGATATCGACTCAAATTATGGCGATCAATGAACCCCATCGTAGATTTCCCATGCTCAACATCGGGCATTATTTCATCCGAAGTCTTGTCACTTGTTGAAATGCTATCTTCATTCTCCATACAAAAATTATCAAGACATAGATCCTCAATAGTCTCAGGCTCCATGAAAAATTCAGCAAGATACATGTCTTCAAAGGACACAATTTTAATTTTCTGTTTACTAGAGCCACAACCAAGAGAAGTTGCAATAACGTACCTCCGTGATGTATCTCTTGGGGAACGTGTATCCCGAACTGCAATAACAGGAGGCAGGAAACCTCTTCGTCATCCTAACCGGAACTGCCCATCTTCTCTTTTGCTTGAGTTAGCAAAACTTCAGTGCCATCATCAACTTTGACTTGTACCACTACATCTTCGTCCTCACCCTCTGCTTTAGTAGCATCAGCTCTTGGTATTGTTGTTTTATCATCTACAACGTTATCAGTTTCCCTATCCAGATTTTTCCCAAACACATCGTGGTCAGAGTTCAGATTATTGTGGTCTGATCGTGGATTTCAATATTGAGGCGAGGGCGATTTGGCCATGGCGCTCCAAGGCGGAATAGCTACAGCTCGTGCTGGACAATAGTCCACTGTGGTAAGCTTCCGGAGAAAGGCTAAACGCCTGTCAGGTGCTTCCCGACTCTGAGTTCGGTAATGAATAAACAATTTTTCCACGAAATGGTCCTAGTCCGCTAGCTGTTTGTTTCGATATAACCAACAATACCAATCCAAAACCTCACCATCCAAATATAAAGAAGCCAATGATAATTTATGATCTGAAAAAATGTTATAGCGTGTGAAATATTGTTCTACTTGAAATAGCCATGCCGCTGGATCATCACCACTGAATCTGGGTATTTTCACCGACATAGCTTCCATGGACGAACCCAACCCAAAGCGAGACTGAGAAGCGGTCGGAGTCATTTTCCCACCACATCTTGTAACATACACTGAATCTCAGCGATATCCTTGGAAAATGAATTCGTCACTCCCTTCACAGATGCATCAATGAGAGCCTTGAGCTTGAGTTTTTGGTCCTCCATTGAAGACCTCTGGATGAAAGCACCAATGTAGCAATTAGTTTTTCAACACTTCTATTACTTCAAGAGTGACAGGAAATTACAACTCAACTCAAACTATTCAAGGAATTAGAGTCACTAAACTGAAATGCACAGAATAGAGAAGAAGGGATGAGAAGCTTAGACTAAGAATGGGGATGAGATGATACAGACATTCGAGAAGGAAGATGAGGAGAAGCAGACATTTCATTCAACAACACGCATGCCCCGTATCTCCCCCTGGATCCCAAATATAACGTACTAGTATTCTGTTTGGTTGTTCAATCATTGGGCCTTTAGCTCTTGGCCCAATAGTCCCAACTGGGTCAGCCTCGTTCCTCATTTCTGGCCCATAATCCCTTACCAAGTAAGGTTGGTTCACAACAGCTGCTTAAACAGTACTTATCAAATTTCTTATGCAATGTAGTTGATGCCCATCCATAAACCTCTTTATGTGCTTTTGCAGACAGACAGACATATACATATATATATAATGGACTTAATTTCAATCAATTACTCCTTAGCAGAACATACAAAGATCTATTTTAGTCCCACTATATTTGTTGCTTTTTAGAAAATGAGTTAAATTCAGTTTTCTCGTTACTTTCGACCTGGTCCTGATTCTCTTACTTGAGATAAACTTATGTTTGAAATTCAAATGCAGAGGCATTGATCATGCAGTGGCTAACAACGAGGTCCCCTTAAGATCACATGAGCTACCATCACTCTTAAAACAGGTAAGATAGACCAAGATGCAAACGGAGTAATGAGCTTCTTAAATTTATAATGAACACTGAAACTGCAGACATTTTTCACATTCTCAGCCTCTCAGGATGCTTCCTTTCGAAGCTGCATTTGTGTCTTAACTCTAGTTTGCTTAATGTTTGTAAGCTATCATTCATAATCTAATGTAAGTAGATAAAAGCTGAAAATAAAATTTGATGCTGTGGTCAGTTCACAGTGTAAGTGCAGCATCTTGATGCATCCACTGTAGAATATGTTGAATACTTTTTGAATCTAATGGGAGTGTGTTCTGGAGATTTATCGTCTGTTTTCATGTGCCCCAAGGTGTACAAGTATAGGAATGACTTTTCCCTCCAAGACGCTTCTATGGTGTTACTGATGTCTGTCAAGGTATACCAAATCTTTCATGTTTCCTCATAAAATTTGTCATATTAGTTTCCGATATGGAAACCTCAAGTGGTAGCAACTAAACTTCTAATTCCAGCTTGTATACCTCAGTTCTACTTGCACATCCCAGAACTTGTATGCAGTTTATACTTTCGATACTATTTATTCTCTTTAAGTGCAAATTTTCTGTATTGTTTCCCGACTATTATGGCTCGCTTTGCATTGTTATAATGTTGTGGTCATTGATATACAAGTGCTGTATGTGCAAGTTCTGTGCTTTTTCTACACCTTGTATATGGGGTGCTGACTAAAAAGAACTTTTACTTGTGCTGGACCCACCATTAATTTCACCATCATACTCACATCTTCTTGACCTCTTCTGCCGCAAAGGACCCCTAGTTCTCATCAATAATAAGCAAGCAAGTGCAAACAGTCTCAAACACAAACCTACTACATCTTATTGTTGCTTACAGGCTTGCATGATATCGGTATTCCAATGCAGCAATTAGAGATGCGTTGGTAAAGCTATTAAGAATCCCCTTTCCTAATTGTTGTAAATGTTCTCTTGGCTATTTTCTTTATCAGAGGGAGTACCATATCCTGAAAATGAGATAATCACAAATTAGGAAATTATAGTTTCTAACAGAGTTGGAATAAGATTTATTATTTCCTTGTAACAAATGTTTCACAAATTAGCTTCTGAAACTTAGAACTGCAAATCCTGTTATAGATAGACATAACTAGTATAGTAGCCAAAGTAACCTTTCTAGGAGCACATAGATTTCTTTATATTGAAAGGAGGTGATTTTGAAAAATTAAAAGCCAGAAGTCTTATGTCCAGGTTAGAGAAAATTTGACTTTCAGCATACTGGTATCTATCTGTGCGAATTAAATGGCAACTTGTTAGTGTATTGAATAGTAAATAATCTCCCACAGCAGGCGTCTAAAATTTATGTGCCATTTGTTTGGGTGGACAGCAAAGAATTTGATCTGCTGTGAAAAAAAAGAAGAAAAAAACACCCCTATGAAGATACTTACCGGTGCTACTCCATTCTTAAATCTATGAAAATAGTTTGTATTATATTAGCGCAAATAGAAACATATAGTTACTCAGGTGATTATTGACTTAGATGGTTATAAAGCCCAATCAAACAAAAAACAAAATCAAATTTAGTATCCTCTCCAGAAGATGAGTTCAAAAACATCTATGATATATGGACGGGGAGGTAGGTTGGGTAAGGGAGAGAAAGGACAGGATAGTTTTTCTGGTAGTTTACTAGAAGTAAGGAACACTGCTTAGTTAGAGGGTTAGACGTGGAATTGTTATTGACTTCTAAGAGATCTACAGACCCGTTATAACATTCCTCTCACATGATAAATCAGATAAAAGTGCAAATATGCTTCTTCCTAAATACTGAGTTCTTTTGTGAACCAAAGAAGAGATAAGTAATGGTTTAATTTGTTTCCAACATTTTGTAGAAATCTCTTTATCATGTTCATTTCCATCCGAAATGTTGCAAAGCTGGTTACTCTTGTACTTAGTTTTGACTAAATGGATTTGTTGCATCTGTGTCCTGATCAGAGTGCCTGCAAGGTTGGGTGGTTTCATAATGAAGATACCAATGATCTGCTTAAACTTATCCAGGAGGTAAGTGAAACCTTTCGTGTTGATCCTGCTCTTTGGTTTTCAATGACTTCGTATCTTGTGACTTCCGATCTTATTTTTGGGATCCTGCTCAGGTTAGCAGATACTTCTCCAGTGCTGAAGATATTGGTGTTGACCCCAGCTACGTCCACCCTTATGTTTCAAAAGTATTAAGAAGGTCTGTACTCTTAATGTGTTAGCCATGTCATTACTAACTGCACCTCTATTTTTAACAGTTCCCTTAATACATCAGAAGATTTAGAAGGATATGGTGTGACATTTCTAGCCGTGGTAGTTGTACTGCCAATTTGTCAATTAAACTTTTGTTCTTCTGATTGGCCATTCTTTTTTTTTCCTTGAGATAATATGATTTTCCCTCTTTCTTTGTTAGCAATCAAACTGCTTCAACTAAAGCAAGTTACTCCTTATTGTATTACTACATGACAATCATGTGTCATGTCCTAGAAATTAACTCGGTGGGTTTATATTTTTTTGTCAATACATGGAGCTCACAATTCTATTTCCCTCACCAATCACCATCACCATCCCATCTCCGCAGTCACTTTCACTTTAGAATAATGTCAAAGCCTCTTTGCAAATGCAGATTCTCTCCAAAGCTGAAGATGGACAGGATAGTAGCTGCTTTTCAAATCAAGGCAGGTTAATTTGTCTACTAAATGGTCTTGCTATAAATTGAAATTTTGGTGGTCTAATTGGTTACTTTTGTGTAGCCTGGATTTGGAGCTTTTCATGCTGATTTCCACATTTTAAGGGGAATGGTCACTCCAGGGAAGGACGAAATAGTGAGTGCCTTTAATCCTTTGAGGTGTAAAAGCGAGCTGGTTCAGCTGAAGCATGTTGCTTATAGTTGAATAAGAATTTAGTTTTCTATTATTAATATCTTTTCTATTCTGACACTGTTGCGGTTCTCTCATATACATTTTTGCAATTTCCATTCCTGACTGATTAAACTGGTTTTTTTTGTTGTTGTTGTCCATTCCTGACTGACCTGGTTCTTGTGTCCAATTAATCCAAACATTGTTTCGCATTTTTTGGCTTCACTAGTGGGGGAATTCCAAAATATGAATCTAGAGTACTGTTGCAGTTCTTTTGCTTCTTGTCATTGCTACCTTCGCTACTGTCCTGTTCTAATTAAATAACGCTAGTCATCCAGTAGCAACTACCATGAGCAGTTAGGAGAAAAGAAGTTAGGTCTTTATTTTTGTACTTTCACTGCTTTAAATATATTTACATCATACTGTTCGAGCTCTTACATAATATTACTACTATTTTTTTCCATGTTCCAATCTTATTGTCTAAATTTCATGCAGTCTTTACTTGTAACAAACGTTGACAACATGGAGGCAGCATCCTGCATCATTGCTCCACCAGAAACAACGTATAACCTACTTTACTTTATTCTACTTTGTCAGCTTAAACTCTAATCCCACATTCTTCCTTTGATGCCCGGGCCTAATTCTCAGCTCTTCTTGAGTGTAGCTTTCTTTTAAATGGAAAACGGCTGGAGGAGACGACTAAGGTGTCCATAGTCTGTTTCTCTCACCAACTAATTTCTCTCTCTGAATGATTTTTTGCTATCAATTTTTCGAGTTGATCAATTAGTGTAACTGCGCAATTCATTCAATCTCCATTATCCTGAAATTTTGCAGGACAGTATGCAGCAGCTTCCCACCAACATCACTAAAATGCTCAAATATGGTGTGAATGTTCTACAAGTCGTTGGACAACTTAATGGTACCCAAACATTTTCCCTACTGATTTCATTTTTCATGATGAATGTTCTTATCTATTATTCTATACTATGGAAAAAAAAACTTTTACAGGTCATTATATTGCTGTAATTGGCATAATGAGCTTACTACCATCTTTAGAGTCTCATGGGATAAAAGATTGTGGTAGACCTCTTCCTTTAGCTTGTTCAGGTAAACCCAAATAAAAAGAAACAACAACGATGCACTTGTGTTTTAGTCTGTTTAGGTGAACATATTTGATAGTTTGTGTAAGGAGATGTTTTGTATAACTTGAATAGTTATTTGCTCCTACTTCATCGCAGATCTGGAAATTGTTGAGAACTCATCAAGAATCTCGCTTAATTGGCCCATCAGGTAAATTATCATATGACACAAAAAAATTCTTAGTTCATGTCTTGGCTTTTCTACTCTTTTTTATATTTATGGATACATGTTTGAATATGAAAATGCCATGTAGCACGCACACTATATTTATCTCCTAAATTTTCCCTAGCAGATGCTCCCCTGGCGTTAAACACAGTCCTCTTGCTACTATTTTCTGGACCCAGTCCCTCTAATCTGAATTAATTATATGGCTAGAAATTTTTGAGTTTTTTTCCTCTGGGATCAAGTTGGGTCGCTTGCTGAATGCTGACAGTTGTGTCTACTTACGAACTCAATATCAGCCCTGGAAAGGTTGCGTATTTTCTCCAGCTAGTCTTAATTTAAAAGAGTCTCTTGGATTATATTTGTTGCTAATATACGTAGTCACATACACATACAAACCGAGACAAACTCTCATGCGCATGGAGTGTAATTTTTCCTTTGTAGTCCATCCAAAGATAAATGACGAATCATTTAATAACTAGAGTTTCATCACTGATCTAAAATCAAGTTTGCTAGCTGGTTTACTTGCATATTGGTGATGATAATTGTTTGAGCGTGCATTTGGCGTCTGCAAGCCTGAGTGTTTCCTGAGGTTTATTTGAGGTCCTTTTTGAGACTAACGGGAAGTACAATTATAATGCTACCAATTATTAGTGATTATTCTTTTTTGCATTACTGTTAATGATGTAGTGCTTGCTTATCACTACTTGAAATTCATGTAACCTATTTGCCAGTTCCTCACTGCATAAAACCAGGATGTCTTCAAGAACTAAGGATTTATCGAAATGTTGATAAGGTAACTCATGCTTTAGATCTCCTAGCAATTCTTGCCAGGTCTTGAATGAGGTAGCCAACGAGGTTGTTCCTGGAGTCGCATCCGCAAATGGATCCTGGAAACCAATTGTACAAGACAAAAGTGTCTCAAGTCAAACATACAGCAAAAGCCAATACATTGAGCAACTACGGCATGAAAGTAAATACAGCTTGAGCGCTGCAACATTGGATAAAATTCAAATGCCAAAGCCTAGGATACTTGTGCATGCTTCTGTTCCAGTTACATCAGTGAAAACAAATGCCCCGGCAGGCTACAGTCAACAACCTCGAAGAACCTTTCTGGCGCCATCTTGTCTTGCAACAACTGAAGAAAGCTCAGAAATGTGTTCTGCCATGGTTAACCAGCTTAATGAACAAAGGATAGATAGCTTATTGGTACCAAGAACAAATTACTGGATTCCCTCCGGTACAACGAGGGAGGGGCAGCCTTAGTAGCAGACCCTATTCGGCTATATTCCAACAATTTATGTTACTACACTGTGTGATCGATAGTATCCTTTTCATTCTGCGTGCTGTTTTCACTGCTTTATTTAATATGAAGGTATTCACCTACAATAGATAAATTCCGTATAATTGTCTATCTAGAATCTATTTAGCTATTTTATTACTTAAACATTTTGTAAAAAAATCAACTATTGATAGAAATTTTTAATTTCTACTTCTAAAAATAAATATAAATTAGTTCACGATTTCAACTTCAACCGGTTAACTTGACTCGAAGAAAGATTGCTTGTCTAACTTTCATAGATCTAGTGGTTAGACATTTTACCTAAATGATTAATCAATTGAATTGATCCAAACCAAATGAGGGTTGGTGCGGGAAAGATAAGAACAGAGAAGGCCGAGGAAAAGGGAGTTCCTAATTATTTAATGTGATTTGCTAGAAGAGATCATGAGATCTTTTACAGCGTTCCAGTGACATTATTAATTGCCGAAGAAGGTTATGCTCTACTCTTAGACTGATACCATCCTCTGTCACACATATACATGTCTTTTTCACTATGGTGTGTATCCATGGGTTGTAAGATGGGGAGGTGGGGACGGAAGGATAAGAACAAAGAAGGGAGTACTTTCTTGCATAAAGCATAGATGAGAAAAGGTCCAGAGATAGAATGAGGTAATCCTTGGGCAAGACATTCGAGACAAGCTCTTGCAAAATTCTAAAAGCCAACAACAATTCAACTACTTCTGTTCCACTGCATTTTTTGAAGGCAAAATGTGGTATATGTAGTTCTTGCCTTTTTGATTCTTTCAAACCGCATATAAACTACTGAAAAGGACATTCAGCAACGACATGTTCATTGTAATGGCTTATTTTCATTATAAAATCTTTTGAGCAGGTGGGTGCGCGGATTGGGGGTTGAAGATATCTAAGCCACAGTACCCATGCACAGCATAAAATATTTATTGAAAGGTCTACAGGAAATAAAAAGAGAATTACCAATAAATTCATCAGCATTATCTAAAGCCTTCGACACTGTAGAGAAAGTGTTGATGGTGGCCAATAGAGTTAAAACAGGGGCTTCTTTCCATTTAACATGGCAAGCAAATGATCCAATACTTTACTTCCGGCATCTCTCAGACCAGAGTGCATGTACTCATTAGTAATCCAAAGCCTGATTCCAGCTATCTGGGAAGCAGTCTCCATAGATAGGTTAAAGTTAACATACATGTCTTCGTAGTAAACAGCAGCTGCAACTGGTACCTATATATAAAAAGAGCCCGTGTGTTAAATATGAAGTATAAATCATTCAATCAGTTTACTGTCACTTCTTATCTATTACAAGAAGTGATAGACGTCAAGGTAGATTCAAATCCTTAACATAATGATTGACACGAGCCTGAAATTGTCAACTTTAATAGAAATACAACATACCTTGTTATCCTTTAATGCAGCAATATCATACAATGAAGGCCAGTCCTTCTTCTCTGCTAATAGCAGGGCCGCATCTTTGAATGGCCTCAAGGCATGGACTTCATCAAACAACCATGGGAATATCATCTACATGTTAAATTAAAAGGCAATCAACACTTGCTCAATATACGAAAAGTTCAAACTTTCTATTTTTCACCCGAAATAAACAAAGGGTCTCTTAATTCCAGCTGAACGAAATAAAAGCATTCTGCAAATTTTTGACCTCAGATCAATGGTCCATCATACTAAATGCAAAATAAATCCATGTGATATCAGCTGAATGAGTGATTAATCAAAATGTCCATAATAAAGAAGTGTAGGTTTTATTAAATCACAAAGACAAACCTCACAACTCTGATCAATAATAAGCACCTCATGTGGGACGGAGAAGCTCTTAAACCCAGTACATTAAGCATATTTTCAGCAGTTCTCAGAACTGGTCCGTGGAGTATGCTCTGGGTTATGATTTCGTCCCTGATTTATTGGTTGTTCATATGTCGTTCCTAATCAATCACATTGTTTAATTGATCCTTTCCTCCAATCCCCAACCAAATATCCTCGTTCCTAATCAATCACATTGTTTAATTGATCCTTTCCTCCAATCCCCAACCAAATATCCATGACTTCTAGGAGCAGTGTGCAGTTGGAATTTTCTTATGTTGTCTTTCCCCATTATGTGCCTCACACGGGAAGTGTGAACTAGAGAAGATTTGACAGTCAATCCTGTTGAACTCTAACCATAGTGTTTCTTTGCATTTGTTCTCTGAGGTTTGAACTCTCACCATTGAGGGTTTCTTCTCTCTTAGTCACTCAAAAATCACCATTTCCAGCAATTTGAACCCTTAGCACCATAATTGAATCTCTTTCATTTACTAAATGAGGAGGCAACTAGGAAGAAGACGAAGAAGAAAATTGAACTTAGCTAAACAGCAAGGATGAGCATATACATCGTAGTTGCACATAAACAAACTGATATTAATATAATTTCAGACTCTATGGTCCATGCCACATCTCTACTGTGCAGTCAATGTGGAGGTCAGATCATCACAAAACTTAAGGCGGAATTAAAACTTTCGTTTGATGCTTGATTCATATTATGGCGGTTCTTAACTAAAAAACGTCCACATTGTGTCTTACCTCTCCAGTAAAAAGTACGGGGCGGCTGCCTTTTGCTGCCTCAATTGCGTCGAATTTGTTCTCATTTTCAGCCCTAATTCTGTGAGCAGACCACAGTGATGAGGCACCCTTCATATCAGGAAAAAACAATGAATTAGACAGTAGCATGGATGCCTGCAGAAAATAGGTACCCAAAACTATAGAAATAGATGCAGAAATTCCTTTAGCCAAGTAGTAACACTGTTGTAGCCGTACCCCTATTGAAAGTTTACCTGGCAATATATGCTTTCATGCAAAAGAGCATATAAAGGGTTTGCATCAAATGCTATCCATCTCTCATACTGCAATGTCACAAAGAGTTCAAATCAGCAGATATCTCATCCAGCTCCTGCACCTCTAAATACATCTCGAATTACCAAGAAAATGCTGGCAGTTCATTCACACAAAATGGGCCGGAATTTCAGATCCTTAGCATCTCCTAAATGGCAAAGAATCTCACAGTCTACAGTAACAGATATGAAAAACTCTGTTTACTTGTTAACACTCGAAAACACAGCACTTCTACAGTTATCTTACACCTATATGTCATCACCAAAGTCATCATGAGCTGCTAAAGGCTTAAATATGTCATTATCCAAGATAATTCACATCTGAAGAACTTTATTTCTGTTCAGCATCTTAAATTAATTTTTACCATGCAACAGAATATCAAATTTTCCAGAGAAACAAAACTGGTAAGTTAACATGACATTTAGTTTCTAGTTCATAGGAGATCAGACATTGCACATGAAAGATTTTTGCATTCTTCCTTAACAGGATGTTCGCTCGTGTGTTCTTTTCTCTTTCCTCCCTTTATTTTTGTATTTCTTCATTTGAAGTCAAAGCAGGATTAATTAGTCATGAATTATCCTATTAAAAAATCAACACCAAGATAGTCATTACGAGTACCATATAAACAAACAGAGAAGAATGCAGGCCACTGAAAATTTTTATACTGATGAAACTGTACAGAAAGCATTTGAACTCAATGTAGAAAAATTCAAGGAAGATATCTATTGCAGCATGTTTAGTTCATGAACCATATTTACTTATTGCTGAACAAGATCTCAAGTTCTTCGCAATATTGATCAAACTTAATCTCAAAAGAATAAAAATTCACTGTTTTTATTTTGTAAAAACCATATGTATAACTCACAGCATTCAAGAAGTAGTCACTGATTCTCCTTTTTGCTCCTTGAACTATTACAGGATCCCAGACTCTCTCAAACCTATAAGCATAGTATGGATGTTAAAGATTCAAATGTATGATATTTTTTGGGAAAAAGAAAAAGAGGAGATGGAAAAATGATGGCTTACAGGTAATGCAATCGTTCAAAACCAGTACTAGATCCTAGGCCCGAGAGACCAAGAAGTTGTAGTCCTCGAGGTGTTAAGATGCCGCCAGATGGAAGAGGCACCTATGTCACACACAGAGAGAAGGAGGGAGATAGGGTAGGGTGCAGAAAGATAGAAACGTTAACATTATTGGAAAAGTATGTATCGGATGGACTCATATGAAAAAAGTTAATGTATACAAGTATAATTCCCTTACCCCTCCTCCTTCAGATTCTGCCAGATAATTTACGACATCACGAACAATTTCAATATCCTGTGGAAATCTCTTGTAATATTTTTCATTCTGATGAACAAGCTGCTCAAAGCCTGCCTTGTAAACAGCATCAGCTGTGCATCCTTTTCCAATTGGAGGGAGTCCGCCAGTTATAAGAGCGTGTTTGAGTCCTTTGGGAGCAAAACTCAAGTAAGTAACTGCGCAAAATCCTCCAAAGCTCTGCTCGATTATGGATCCAATCACAAGCCGGCGATTTCAAGCACAACTAACATCAGAATTAAGACTTCCATACATCATATTAGATGATAGTTTTACCTCAAAAGATATTTTCAAATAAACTTTTAGAAAATATATAATCAAAACGAAAATCGAAAAACTTATTCCTGAGGTAGTCTCTTTTAACAACTTATTGAGAGAATAGCACGATGACATTAAGATAGAAAAACCAAATACTGAAA